TTATGACTTTATTCAACAATTCGTCTCCTCCGCATCACCCTGGTGCCATTTTGGAGAATATCCGCATACGTTGTTTACGTCCAGCAGATATTCTTAGTTCAGATTCCATCAAAAATATCTTAATTTGTGTTCCGAAGATGAACGAAGGTCTTACGGGTTTGAAACGACATGAGGGTGAGTAATTAATGACAGAATATTCATTTTTGGGTGAACTAACTCTTTAAACAAGACTGCATCATTAACCTGGCTCTTCTACGTTTAAGGCTAGATGGTGGTATACAGCAAAAACTACTGGGCATGCGCACATCAATATAGCATAATTTTTCTCACACTGTACAACAATAATGACTATTTTTGCATTATTGTAAGGGGTAGGTTTAGGGTTGGGGTAGAAAATTTCTAATAGAAAATTCAATTTATTGTTAGCTTCCGGTTTTTGCTATATCCCTTCTAGCCACAACCCTCTTCTAATTCTAATTTGTCTGTCCTGAAAAATTGATCTAAATTTTGCTTGATCAGATCAGTCAAGTAATTTTGAAACTTCTCAGTGTTTATTGCTTTAAACTACACCGTTTCAAAGCATCCGGTTCAAATATCTAACTGTACAACAAAAGAGCCATTTGACCAACATAAATAAAATCCTAGAATTTGGCAACACTGCAATTTGATCAATGCGTTTTAAAGAAAAGATCATATCTGTAAACATTCTCTAAAATTAACATTTCATACATTCAAATTCTTTAATGTCAGTATGGCTGGTCAACAGTCAATTCACTCAGCAGGAAGCACTGGAGAAGCACAGTTTACACCACAAACACAAAATAATATATTCATATAGATGTGATGTTTTTATGTAGAGTCATGTGGAGTTTAGAAAATGGTGTAGTTGTTGGATTCTCCATATCCCGCCTCCTTCAGATATTGTTCAGTATTGATTGGCTCAGGCACCCGGATAACACTGCTGTCATTGGCACTCTTCTCTCCTGATTGGAGTTTACGCCTGACCTCAGCCAATGAGGGGCGGTCGTGCTCCTTCCACTGACAGCAAGCTTTGATAAGTGAGTAACTGGAGAAAAGCAGTAGCAATAATTGTTTATTTTGAACATACGCACTATATAAGCAGTAAATTAAAATACAATAAATAAAAAATGCAATACAATAATTTTACAAAACAATAATTCTAAAGGTGCATTTACAGTGAGTTGGAGCAGTTGTTTGGTTTCTTCAGGGTTTTCCCTCGCTGATGATACTGTAGAAGTTCCTTTGCTGGGATTTCAGAAAAGGGGACCTCACCTGAAAGTATAAAGAATAGGATAAACAAAAATGTGAGAGAAGTTAAAGGTCAGATTTATTAATCATTCTAAGCAAGATACAGTCAACTTAAATCATTCCAAAAGAAAAGGACAGCAGACTCACCAAGAGTCACCATTTCATACAGTAGCAGCCCAAATGACCAACTGTCAAAAAGATCAAGAAACACAGGTATTTGAGGTGAAAATGTGAATGTTGTTTTTCCTGAAAACACGTGTTGTGCTTTTTACTTACACATCACTTTTTGGAGTGGCTGGTCTCTTGGCCAATAGCTCGGGAGCCTGCCACTTTTTTATCCCAGGATCTTCACTGTGATTAGCACTTGCTGATGTCCTTGCATACAAATCACCCAAACCCCAGAGTTTTGCGGTACAAATCCTGCTGACTAACACACTGCGAGCTTTGATGTTGCAGTGGAGAAGATCTTTGCTATGGAGAAAGTCCTACAGAGAAAGAAGCAAGAAAGGTCAGATGATCTCCATCCTTGAAACTGAACCAAAATATCACACGATACCATCATTGGTGTCATATTTGTTCCAACTAGTGCTTATATTGCCAAATACCAAAATGCTTGGATTTGACACTGAGAAAAATGGTGATAACAATATTGTGCTCACCAGTGCAGAGGACACATGTGAAGCCATGGTGAAGATCTTTTTTTCTGTCATCTGATACATGCCGTCTGGTCCAACGTTATCCTGTTTAATACCAAATGACAAATGAATTTGCAACAAAATAAGTTTATTTAGATGCACAACCTTTGAGATCAACAACATAAGATAAAGGAGGCATGTTAGAACTTTCAAAAATTGACTTATGGCCTATGTATGGCTGTTTCCCACCAGTTGAGAACCGCTGCTATAAAACATCTTGGTCAGACCTCTTACCTGTCTACACCTCCACAGGAATCCGAGCAGATCTCTGTTCTCCATCTCTTCAATAACAGTAATGAGAGGAGCTCGCAGGGATATAACTCCCAGAAGCTCCGGTAAGAAGGGATGGGGCCCTAACTGGGAAAGGAAGGATGCAAATCCCAAGAAGGACTGACTTTCATGGTTACTGGCTGAATCTGAGTATGAGAACAAAAAAAGGAAAGTGAAACTGAAATTCAAGATCTCAGTCAGACGTTATGACTATATCATAAATCACTCGGGCACCTTTAAGTACACGCAGCACCACATTTCTGTTTTCCATACGAGCCCTGTAGAGTGAGACGGAGCTGTCTGACTTCAGAGAGTATGATGCTGGGAGAGGAGACACCCCTTTGAAGTTCTCCGGTAGTCGCTGTCGTAGAAGTTCCCTGGGCTTTGTGAAGGCTGAAGCTGTGGCGCCAAAAGAGCCTCCTCCATCGGTAAAGGCCACATTGTTGTCATTGAAGGAGGCATGTTCATTTCTATAGGAGTCTCGAACTGGGCTGAACGTCATGTAAGATGTAGTGTCCAACGCTATTGGCTCACCTTCAAGAGCATTCAGACCCTGGGGAGCTACATATAGGGAGATAGAAAGAGAGACTGTTTAGGTGGGATTCAATGAATTAAAGTATGAAAAAACAGAACAGCATACTTAATAAAATATATTACCGACCAAATGTCATGTTTGTTTACTTGAAGTCAGTATCAAAACCATTTTGTGCAAACAGTCTCAATGTGTAGATTAGAGGCGCGATTCTTAAGCCCTTGCCACGACACATAAGCACAGTGGTTTGCATTTGAGATGCAACATTTATGCTTAACACTAAAGCAAATATTTAATCCCTGTATTATGTACAGACATTATGTGTTATTAATTAGGAAATACATTTTTGTGATTAACTTTTTATTCAATTTTAAAATGTACACATCAATTTAGCTATGCATCATACATGTAACATACATGCAAATGTATTTTGCATTTAATACATTTAGCAAAATGCGTTTAGTAACATTGAAATATATATTAAAATGATACATATATATATACTCTTGGCATGTTGTTTTTTAAATATATATGTAGACACTCACCATCAATGCCTTGCAAGTTTCTCCTAGTCTTGGTTGTTCGACTGGACCTGGGTTGCAGGCGATCCACCTTCTCAGGACAGAACTTCAGCAGCAGCAGAAACACCAGCGTGACCAAGAAACTCATCAAAAACAACACCGGTACGATTATCACTTCCTGTTCATACACACGGATCTCTGAGGGAGCAAATCACATGTTGACGGAATATGAGCAACTTTTTTACATTTTAGCTTACAACTTTGGAGACATACTCGTCTAATGATGATGATGCCTTTTTGTTTTATTCGAAATACATGATCTACTCACCACACAATGTGTCTCCAGGTTTACATTCAGAATACGCAGAACTGGAAGTGGTAGCCATCCTGCGCAGAGACGGAATGTGGATTTAAAAGGTTGGAGATGTTTAAAATTAGCTACTTGTTTACCAAAGTATTGCGCTGTGTTTCAGGTTGATTTCCAAATATGGAGAACATTGAAACAATGTAGATTTTAAATGTTCTAAGTCTTCTATAATGGCAGTATGAAACATCATGCTGAATTCTGGGTCAGCGTAATGTGATCAGTGTTTCGAATCAGCATAAAAGGCTTTGGGTAGTTGAGATACATCTTTGTCAACATCATCATATATATGGAAATAACCCCAGAAAGAAAAAAGGAGAAAAATACTAAGAAATAGATTTCACATATAAATATTTACTGTGTACATACAGTAAGTAAATTATGTGTTTGTACATGAGAGTATCTTGTAAGTATAATCTCAAAGACGCTACACTACACACTTATGCTCCATGTGCAATATGAGATGGCCTCATTTGTGAACAAACAGTGAACACTCAGTCTGGTGTGACATTCTAAATGTCAGTACAACAAGACTAATACTTGCTATACTTTGTGTGTGTTCATGGCTGCAATTGTCAGCTGTGTTGTGCTACTAGATAAATGTGTTCTTTCTATTCCTGTAAGTGTGGCTAAATGTGTTTTCAGACTGTGAAGTAAAAGGCCACTGTATTAGCTCGGTTTCTGACATACAAGGAACAGCCTTTTTATTTGTATTATGAGTCTCAACATGTTTGTCTGCATTTTTTCATTCTCAAAGACGACACAACAACACGTCATATACACAGAGGTACATAGGGAAACCCACATAAGCAACTGAGATGTATTAGACATAAATATCTTGACTTAATGTATTAAAAAAATAGTGTATTTAAAATTGTCCAATACTTTTATTCAGTAAATATTCAGTTGATCAAAAGTGACAGTAAAGACATTTATAATGTTCAAAAAAAGATTTCCAAATAAATAAATGCTGTTCCTTTCTAGCTTTCTATTCATCAAAGAATCCAGAAAAAAATGTATCACAGTTTCCACCAAAATGTTTTTAGTATCAAGAAGTATTCAACAATGACAATAAGATGTTACTTGATTTCTGAAGGATCATGTGACACTGAAGAATGGAGTAATGCTGAAAATTCAGTTTTGCCAACACAGGAGTAAATTACATGGGGAAAAAACTGTTAACATAGAAAACAGTCATTTTCAATTTGACTAATATTTAAATAAATACAGTCTTTGGGGGACTTTCAAAAACATTAAAGAATCATACTGACCCCAAACATTTGAATGGCAAATATAATGCTCTGCTCTCTCTGTAGTGTATTTGTCCTTCTTTGACATAAGTGAGGAATGTTTTGACATCAACATGTGTGTTCTGTGCACTTTATAATACAAACTAATTCACAATAAATAATCAAATCATCTGACAGCTAATTCCACAAGTAGGCCTGCCTTGTAAACAAAAAGACTAAGTCACGTATTTCACTTTGGTGGCTTTGTCTGCAGGTCTGTATTGGCCTACCTGCTGGACACTGTGGTTGTAGGTGGTCTTACTCCTTGATGTTCAGTCTTTCCTTGTGTTTAGATTGTCTCTATTCAGATAGTTTTCCATAATGGAAATGATATCCCATTGTTGAATACATCACTCTTTCCCATGTTTTACAGTGTCATCAGTACCTTTTATAAGTCTCCTTCCTTGTTTCTAGAGAATCTCCTTATGGTGTACTGCTTGTGTTTGTCTAGGTTGCACCTTTGTTGGTGACTTAGCTCCACCCTTTTCACCTGTGCTCCGTCTCTTCACTTGCTGTTGTTGGTAACACCCTCCTTTTCTGTAGTGCTAAAAAATATTTTTTTACGGCCAAAGGGTTTATTAAATGTTGTTTTTCCTGAAAACATGTGTTGTGCTTTTTACTTACACATCACTTTTCGGAGTGGCTGGTCTCTTGGCCAATAGCTCGGGAGCCTGCCACTTTTTTATCCCAGGATCTTCACTGTGATTAGCACTTGCTGAAGTCCTCGCATACAAATCACCCAACCCCCAGAGTTTAGCGGTACAAATCCTGCTGACTAACACGCTGCGAGCCTTGATGTTGCAGTGGAGAAGGTCTTTGCTATGGAGAAAGTCCTACAGCGAAAGAAGTAAGAATGTCCATCCTTGAAACTGAGCAAAACACCATGATTGGTGTCATATTTGTTCCAACTAATGCTTATATTGCCACTTCAAATGCCAGAATGCTTGGATTTTGACACTGAGTAGGTGGTGATAACAACATTGTGCTCACCAGTGCAGAGGCCACATGTGAAGCCATGGTGAATATCTTTTTCTCTGTCATCTGATACATGCCGTCTGGTCCAACGTTATCCTGTTTAATACCAAATGACAAATGAATTTGCAACAAAATAAGTTTATTTAGATGCACAACCTTTGAGATCAACAACATAAAATATAGGAAGCATTTTAGAACTTTCAAAAGTTGATAAACATGCAAAAGAAAAAAACTGATATAGCCACAATTTAAGAATTTGTTCCCATGACTTATTCATTTGTTCCTACTATTTATTAGTTTGATTTAACTAAAACAAGGGAACTAATTATTAATTATTGGCCACAATATCTTGTTAATTTTTTCCCTGCATGTCATGTACAGGGCTCTGTACCAATTTATTTCATATTATTTTATTGCTATTTTGCTTTTTTTTTTTTTCCAACTAATGCTTATATTGCCACTTCAAATGCCAGAATGCTTGGATTTTGACACTGAGTAGGTGGTGATAACAACATTGTGCTCACCAGTGCAGAGGCCACATGTGAAGCCATGGTGAATATCTTTTTCTCTGTCATCTGATACATGCCGTCTGGTCCAACGTTATCCTGTTTAATACCAAATGACAAATGAATTTGCAACAAAATAAGTTTATTTAGATGCACAACCTTTGAGATCAACAACATAAGATATAGGAAGCATTTTAGAACTTTCAAAAGTTGATAAACATGCAAAAGAAAAAAACAGATATAGCCACAATTTAAGAATTTGTTCCCATGACTTATTCATTTGTTCCTACTATTTATTAGTTTGATTTAACTAAAACAAGGGAACTAATTATTAATTATTGGCCACAATATCTTGTTAATTTTTTCCCTGCATGTCATGTACAGGGCTCTGTACCAATTTATTTCATATTATTTTATTGCTATTTTGCTTTTTTTTTTTTTATTCTCATTTAGACGTTTTTTGCCCTGCATGTACCAACCCTGGGCTCTGTACCAATTGATTTTCCATTATTTAATTTTTTTTATATTTTATTGCTATTTTGCATTTTTTTTAATTCAGATTTTTGCATTTTTCTCCCTGGTGTCAGTGACCCTATAAGAATTATGACCTATGTAAAGCTGCTACCTGTTCTAAAACATCTTGATCAAACCTCTTACCTGTCTACACCGCCACAGGAATCCGAGCAGATCTCTGTTCTCCATCTCTTCAATAACAGTAATGAGAGGAGCTCGCAGGGATATAACTCCCAGAAGCTCCGGTAAGAAGGGATGGGGCCCTAACTGGGAAAGGAAGGACGCAAAGCCCAAGAATGACTGACTTTCCTGGTTACTGGCTGAATCTGAGTATAAGAATGAAAAAAGGAAAGTGAAACTGGAATTCAAGATCTCAGTCAGATGTTATGACTATATCATAAATCACTTGAACACCTTTAAGTACACGCAGAACCACATTTCTGTTTTCCATACGAGCCCTGTAGAGTGAGACAGAGCTGTCTGACTTCAGAGAGTATGATGCTGGGAGAGGAGACACCCCTTTGAATTTCTCGGGCAGTTGCTGTCGTGGAAGTTCCCTGGGCTTTGTGAAGGCTGAAGCTGCGGCGCCAAAAGAGCCTCCGCCATCGGTAAAGGCCACATTGTTGGCATTGAATGAGGCACGTTCATGCCTATAGGAGTCTCGAACTGGGTTGAACGTCATGTAAGATGTAGTGTCCAATGCTATGGGCTCACCTTCAAGAGCATTCAGACCCAGAGGAGCTACGTATAGGGAGATAGAAAAAGAGTTGTTTAGGTGGGATTCAACGAATCAAAAGTATGAAAAAAAAACAGAACAGGATACTTAATAAAATATATTACCCATCAAATATCATGTTTGCTTACTTGAAGTCAGTATCAAAACCATTTTGTGCAAACCCATCTCAATGTGTAGATAAGAGGTGTGATTCATACGCCCTTGCCACGACACGCAAACACAGTGGTTTGCATTTGAGATGCAACATTTGTGCTTAACACTAAAGTAAATACTTAATCCCTGTATTATGTACAGACATTCTATATGTATGTTATTAATTAGGAATTACATTTTTGTGATTAACTTTTCATGCAATTTTGAAACGTACACGTTAATTTTGTTATGCATCATACATGTAACATAACATACATGCAAGTTTTTTGCATATAATACAAAACATTGAACTATATACTGCCAAAACCTTAAAGAAGAAATAAAGACAAGTGAACAATGTGAAAAGATAATGTGAAAACAATGTGAAAGATTGGCAAACATGTATTATTGTATTTTTTAGCAGCAGTTAAACCTTAAAATTTGTATTAATAGTATGAGTGGATTTATCCTTAAATAAAAACCCAATTGGGAATATCCTGAAGTAAAGAAATATACGATTGTATATTATCATAATTTCATAATCATGTGACAGTAATACAACATAAATAAATAAATTCCCAAAATTAACCACCAAAATAATACTAATCTAAAATAGTATTTGATTAGCAATATAAACATATTTTCAACTTTTATCTATGCCACTCTTGGCATGTTGTTTCCTGAATATATATGCAGACACTGACCATCAATGCCTTGCAAGTTTCTCCTAGTCCTGGTTGATCGACTGGACCTGGGTTGCAGGTGATCCACCTTCTCAGGACAGAACCTCAGCAGCAGGAGAAACACCAGTGTGACCAAGAAACTCATCAAAAACAACACCGGTACGATTATCACTTCCTGTTCATATACCCGGACCTCTGAGGGAGCAGATCACATGTTGACATGGAATAAGAGAGATATTTTTGAAATTTTAGCTTACAACTTTGGAGACATACTTGTCAAATGGTGATGATGCCTTTGTTTTATCTGACAGACATGATTACTCACCACACAATGTGTCTCCAGGTTTACATTCAGAATACACAGAACTTGAAGAGGTCGCCATCCTGCGCAGAGACAGAACGTGGATTTAAAAGGTTGGAGATTTTTTTAAATGAACTACTTACTTGTTTACCAAAGTATAGCGCTGTGTTTCATGTTGTGTTCCAAATACGGAGAACACTGAAACAATGTGGATTTTAAGTGTTTAAAATTTAAACCTTCTAAAAATCTCTTATAACAGCAATATAAAACATCATACTGAATTCTGGGTCAGTGTAACATGATCAGTCTTTCTAATCAGCATAAAAGGCTTTGGGTAATAGAGACAAATCATCACTTCATTTATGTTCATTCCAGTAAAAATGAGTTTGTTTTTTTCGGGAACAACCACAGAGAGAAAATAGGAAAAATAGTAGGAAATACATGTCACATGTAAATATGTGAATTCTAGGTGTTTACATGATGAGAGCGTTTTGTAAGTATAATCTCAAAGACGCTACACTACACACTTGTGCTCTGTGTGCAATATGAGAGGACCTCTTTTGTGAACAAACAGTGAACACCCAATCTAATGGTTTCTAAATGTCAGTACAAAAGTACTAGCATTTGCAATACTTTGTGTGTGTTCATAGCTGTAATTGTCATTTGTGTTGTGCTACTAGATGAATGTGTTCTTTCTAGGCCTGTAAGTGTGGCTAAATGTGTTTTCAGACTGTAAAGTAAAAGGCCGCTGTATTAGCTCAAATTCTGACACATACACGGAACGGCCTTTTTATTTAGATTATGATGCTCAACCTGTTTGTCTGCATTTTTCATTCTTAAAGACTACACAACGACACGTCATATAAACAGAGGCACATAAGGAAACTCACATAAGCAACAGATATATTATGTAAATATCTTGATGTAGTAAATGTATTTAATATAGTGTATCTAAAAAAATATTATTTACTTTTATTCAGCAAAGATTCAGTTGATCAAAGTGACAGCAAAGACATTTACAATGTTAAAAAAAAAAGATTTCTATTCCAAATAAATGCCGTTCCTTTTTAACTTTCTGTTCATCAAAAAAATGTATCACAGTTTCCACCAAAAATATTAAGTATCAAGACTGTTTTCAATAATGACAATAAGAAATGTTACTTGATTTCTGAAGGACCATGTGACACTGAAGACTGGAGTAATGCTGAAAATTCAGCTTTGCCAACACAGGAATAAATTACATTAAAAGAATATATATTAAAAAAGAAAACTAATTAAATAAAATTTTTATAATATTCAAATAAATAGTCTTTTGGGGACTTTCAAAAACATTAAAGAATCACACTGACCCCAAACATTTGAACAGTAGTGTAATGCTCTCTATATAGTGTCTTTTGTCCTTCTTTGATATAATTGTGGAATGTTTTGACATCATCATATGTGTTCTGTGTACTTTATAATATAAACTAATTCACAATAGATAAATTATCAAATCATCTGACAGCTAATTCCATAAGTGGGCCTGCCTTGTAAACAAGACTACAGTACAAGACTAAGTCACATTTACTGTTGGTTTTGTCTACAGGTCTGTATTGGCCTACCTGCTGGACACTGTAGTTGTAGGTAGTCTTACTCCTTGATGTTCAGCCTTCCTTGTATCTCAGATTGTCTCTATTCAGATAGTATCATCTCCATGATGGAGATGATATCCCATTGTTGTATACATCACTCTGTCCCATGTTATACAGTGTCACCACCGGTACATCTTATTTGTCCTCTTTCTTGTTTCTAGAGAATGTTCTTATGGTGTACTGTATACTAAGCCTGCTTGTGTTTGTCTAGGTCACACCTTTGTTGGTTACTTAGCTCCACCCTCTTCACCTGTGCTCCGTCTCTGTTGTTGGTAACACCCTCCTTTTCTGTAGTGCTAATTTTTTTTTTTTTTTTTTTTTTTACCCCCCACTCGTTGCCTCAGCAAGAGGGGGGTAGCCCGGTTGCTCGGGAAGCTCCTCGGGGCGACCAGATACGGTAGACCAGTCCGGATGCCTTGCAGCGACGTGCCCGGGGGCCTGCTTACGACGGCTCCCGCAGAAGCCCGTGTTTGGCCGCATGATCCAGGATTGAAGCCGAAGCCCGGCTTTTCTTACCTTCTGGAGCCCAAGGGTTTATTACAGTGCAGAGCCATTTCTGCATTTCACAGAGTATCATTTACTGCTGTCAAACCCTGTGAAATTGCACTATATCCAGTTAAATGCCCAGACCCTGCCTTTATCGCTACTTGCGTTAAACTTATCTCATCTATCATGTTCAGCATATGTGACATTTTCTTCTTCTTCCTGAATATAACCAAACCAAAACCTGATTATCCAGCTCCTCAAGTTTCTCTAGGATGTTCAGACATCCAGGCACAACTACTGGCTCAATCAATGTCCATTACACACAGTAAAAGAGGGCGTGCAGGTTTACCTTTCATCCACTGTTTATGGTTTAGAATGAAAACGGTTTCGTCAGCACTTGCATTCAGTGTCTGACAGCTGATGGTTTTAAGTAGGACTTCAAAAAGTCCATAGTAGGAATGCACAATTCAACATTCGGGTGCATCACTAACCAGTTAAAATCGGTTAATCAGCAAGCCATAAGTAAATATTATAAAAAGTGATCAAACATGACAAAATAGGTCTTTACTGGCTAAAACTATAGACCATGCTAATTGTTTATATTTAACACAGAATAATATTTTAAGGTCTACACACATTATCAGACATGGACTAAATATTTTACACCCTAGGTAAATAAAGTCAATTATTATTTTTTAATTGTAAAAATGTAAACATTTTCTGGTAGTGTTAGGGTGTGGGGTTAGGTTATAGTATTTATAACTAGCTCAATACAGGAACAGATATAGAAAATTATTAATAGGGTGGCATGAGGGTGGCATGATGACTCTGAGGTGTGCCAACACTAAAGCAAGTGCATGTGGTCAATGTGTCATGTGGATTTCTGGTCTGATATACACATCTGTGTGCATGAAGAACAGTAGCATTACCATAAAGTAATCTATATTGTTTAAAAACAATTAAAAATAAATATTAAAATATAAATACCCAGGGCAGTGAGGGCACCAAGACGTTGGCTATTAAATCAACATATTCTAAATGTCTCTGAGCTTGTAACTGTAGGTCTATCATTAATGCAAACAGAAGACTATTTTATTAATGCACAGGCTGCTCAGATGAATCACATATTTTAGTGCATCAAGTTTGAGAGCAACAAACACTTCTGTCTTACGTGGACATTATGGAAGGTCACCCAGAACACCCTAGCAACCATATAGCAAAACCCTAGCAACTGCCTACCATCTCTCTCTCTCGCTCTCTCTCACTCTCTCCAAGTCTCCTTTTACTAGGCAAGGCCTTTATCGAGCCAACATAGTTTATCAAGTTAAGATTAGATTCTTACCTATTTATCCTTGTTGATTTTCAGAGACTCGATTCATTTGATTCAGACCAAAAAGAGTCTTTCCGATTCTGATTCTGTCACGGTTATGTTCTGTTCCTGGACTTTGAGTTTGTTTTCATTCATCCCATGTGTTCCTTTGACCTACTTTCTGTTTCCCCCTTGATTATTATTAAGTCATTTAGTCACTCTCTTGTCTGTGTATTTAAGTTCCCTCCTCAGTTCCTTTGGTTGTCGGTTATTGTTGAATGTTATCCTGTGTGTTAGAACCTCTTCATCTTGTGGATTACCATTAAAAGGATTTGTTTATATGATCTTTGTTATCGTCTTCATCATCTTCCTAGCAGCAGTGTGACAGATTTGTTTGTTGATGTTACATTTATGCCAGTAGGTGGCGACAAATGAGCCATCAAAACAGGCATTGTTATCCTTTGTTAAAATTAGCTTGTCTATAAATGTCAATTAATGGTTTTCCTAACAGATGACAACAAAATAAATCTATTTTTGCTTATTCATGAATGTAATAAACACAGACTAGTTTGGGATAATTCTGGGGTGGCAATGCATTTTCTTAGGGTGGCAGTTGCCACTCAACGCCACACCAGTAGATCTGCCCCTAGCTGTACTTAAAAACATTAGAAGTCAATGTCCTCTTTTAGATGTAAGTGTGTGTGTTTGCTGTTGAATTGAAACAATGTGAATTTACACCACTTTAACATTTTATTTAGAAGTTGTTAAAATAGACAGAGCATGGAGGAGTAGTGATCACATTGTGGCTGTGGGCTTGTTAGGGTGAGGCCCCATCCACTTCTCTCCTGGAATATAAAAGAAAGAGAATGAATGAATGAACAATGAACAATACATCACAGTACACTCACATTGACCCGCTTTGAAACGGCAACATTAAAGGTACAATATGTAATTTTCGCCGCTAGAGGGCGCGTATTCAAAATAAACAAAGAACCAAATGCGTAGTTTGATGACGCCGTGACTGAGTGTGGAGTCATGGGAGTTGTCGTCTTCATCCCCACAGCCGATGCAATCCGACGGGACTCGGGCAGAAATCATGTTCATGGATGAGCTAATGATTTATTAACATAGTAGAATGAAGCAGGGTGAGGCTGAAAGCCGTCGAAGCAAAACGAGGCCGCTGAACGAGCGTGACACACGGCTTGAAAGCAGCGGAGCTTTTATTATGCCACAGTCGACCGCTTCCGCTCCTTCCGGTCGTGCGTATGTGGGGGACTCCAAAATACTCAGACAGCAGCTTCAGATCTGAGACCATGTACAGAAGTTTACTAGGGTTCAATCCAAGGGGGCGGTTACCTAGGGAAAGAACAAACTTGATAAGGGTTTCAGCCTTCATCTATAAATAAAACAAATGTTCACATATAGTTGACAACTGTGCATTACAAATTATACTTAAGCGGTTAGAAGAGAGCTTCACATTTAGTACATATATACTTATGAAAAAAAGTGATTAAATAACTACATAAAGGAATACATTTACTGTCTGGAATATATAAAAAGCTATGACCATTAATGTGACATATGTATTTAGATTAGTTGTGATCATGTAATTTCCCCATTACCTGAGCCGTATACAACTTACTAAATATGCGGGTTTGAATTTGAGGTTGATGTTCCAAACATTTCTATAGCGACACAGCACCTTAAAACACAAACACACACACACACAAATCAACACATGCATGATATTGACACTGCATTAGTACAGATGACATGGCAATGAAATATACTAAGGGGCGAAAAACATTACGCACCTCAAATGCCAGCCAGGAATTAGGAGAAGCAACATCATAAAAGAACTCAATAATTTTTGAGCTCCTCAAGTTTCTCTAGGATGTTCAGACACCAGGCACAACTCCTGGCTCAATCAATGTCCATTAAACACAGTAAAAGAGGGCGTGCAGGTTTACCTTTCATCCACTGTTTATGGTTTAGAATGAAAACGGTTTCATCAGCACTTGCATTCAGTGTCTGACAGCTGATGGTTTTAAGTAGGACTTCAAAAAGTCCATAGTAGGAATGCACAATTCAACATTCGGGTGCATCACTAACCAGTTAAAATCGGTTAATCAGCAAGCCATAAGTAAATATTATAAAAAGTGATCAAACATGACAAAATAGGTCTTTACTGGCTAAAACTATAGACCATGCTAATTGTTTATATTTAACACAGAATAATATTTTAAGGTTTAACACATTATCAGACATGGACTAAATATTTTACACCCTAGGTAAATAAAGTCAATTATTATTTTTTAATTGTAAAAATGTAAACATTTTCTGGTAGTGTTAGGGTGTGGGGTTAGGTTATAGTATTTATAACTAGCTCAATACAGGAACAGATATAGAAAATTATTAATAGGGTGGCATGAGGGTGGCATGATGACTCTGAGGTGTGCCAACACTAAAGCAAGTGCATGTGGTCAATGTGTCATGTGGATTTCTGGTCTGATATACACATCTGTGTGCATGAAGAACAGTAGCATTACCATAAAGTAATCTATATTGTTTAAAAACAATAAAAAATTTATATCAAAATATAAATACCCAGGGCACCAAGACGTTGGCTATTAAATCAACATATTCTAAATGTCTCTGAGCTTGTAACTGTAGGTCTATCATTAATGCAAACAGAAGACTATTTTATTAATGCACAGGCTGCTCAGATGAATCACATATTTTAGTGCATCAAGTTTGAGAGCAACAAACACTTCTGTCTTACGTGGACATTATGGAAGGTCACCCAGAACACCCTAGCAACCATATAGCAAAACCCTAGCAACTGCCTACCATCTCTCTCTCTCCAAGTCTCCTTTTACTAGGCAAGGCCTTTATCGAGCCAACATAGTTTATCAAGTTAAGATCAGGGCCCGTATTCACAAAATATCTTAAGGCTAAAAGTAGCTCGTAACTCGCCGATTTAGGAGAAAATCTTAAATATAATGGTTGTGTCAGTCCTAAATTTTTGATCTAAAAGTATTTCACAAAGCATTTTAGCGCTAAAACTAGCTCCTAAATCTGTGAAACATAAGGGTTGTGTCCGAAATCGCCCCCTGTACCCTTAAATAGGGCACTATTTGAGGGAACAGCCATTTTTAGTGGTGTCCGAAACCATAGTGGACGTTCTCGAGTGCACTCATTCAATCCCACAATGCACTGCAAAAACGAGTGTACAACTGGTGCACGCTCAACGGCTAGAGAATGCCCATAATGCACCGTGAGAGTCACGCGCCGAATGAATTCCCGCATCTCGCCAGAAGATAACGCCCGCAGCTGAATAATCAAGCCGTTCATTTT